GTAGTAGTAATAGTAGTAGTAGTACGTAGTAGTAGTAGTAGTAGTAGTAGTAGTAGTAGTAGTAGTAGTAGATGTTCCCGTGGATGCCCTGTTAGGTGCTCGCATCGGTAGTAACAGCTCAGGGAGGAGATAAGCTTCCGGAAGCGGCACGTCTGTGTGAAGAATGTGTTGATCATGCTGGTAGTAGTTCTGGGTTCGACGATATAAAAGGGTCGGAGGCTCTTTGGTAGGAATGATAGATGAATTTCGGAATTCGGCTGGGCTTAGTATTAACGAAAATCTTTATCGTGAGTTCCACAGTTTCTCATTCGAGGGTGAATGGGCTTCAATTTTCTACGACTTCCCAGTGCATTTCGCCTTATTGCATTTGCACAATTTCTCCGTTCCGTTTGAATTCACTCGACAAGGTGAGTTCCTTCCTAAGGCGAGAAAATGTTATGGCATTATTTTGGCCTTATTTATACCACTCCGAGTTTAATTGTTGTACAATTTAATGGAGTTTCACCCTGGTGATATGAAAAACACTAGTGAAAAACATATTTCACGACTATTGCATATCACCGCGAATATCGCGTTTTTCACCGAGTTTTACACCACTTCACGTAAAATGGGTGAAACTCCGATGTTTTTAAGAAATCTTAATATTAGTTTCATTTTATTGTACATATAGCGATACCATGCACTACGTAGTGCCCAATCGTTATGAAGATAATTTTTTTTCGCGATAGTTTGTACAACTTCGAGAGTTTGCACTTTTAGTCGATTGACATCTTTTGGAAAATCGGTTCGTTTTCTATAGTAAATTTATGAGTAAAATAAGATCATTAGTGCTTGTATCAGAGCGCATTCTGGGACATGTTCATGCCAACACTGCGAATGCATATCTCCAACTTGGATATACCCAAGTGCAGGCAGGGAAGATTGGAGAGGCTGAGGAGGCTCTGAGGTGGAAATAATTCTAGTGGAGAAAAAGTTGAGGGCAAAAATGTTCATCATTTTCACACGTTTTGATTTGTGTGTAACACGCATGTGCGAATTTCCGGATTTTTTTCTTCTATTGGAATTTCCCAGAGTATGTTGGCATGCATTGTATGTGTTATGGTTTGTATTCGTATATGACCTGTGGTTGATCATCATCCGTGTGAATGTGGGATATGGTAACCACTTCGAATAGCGTCATCACTAGGGGGAAGAAGTTATACTACGTAGTGCAAAGGCGGCGTAACGCGCGCACCAGGCTGTTCTATTCACAGCAATACGAAAGGGTCTGTGATAAGGAAGGTGAAAGTTTCGCATGAAGACAATTTTTCTCGGGATTTTCGCCGAAAAAATATAAGTTGCTGAATCTACTTTTAGTTTGGCACGAATTCATGCGGTGATTTTTAGTATCGGAATAGAGTGCTTGTTCGTGATTAAGCAGACTAGATTGAACTCTGTGTTGTTAAAGAATCAAAGAATGAAAATCTAAATGCCTTATGATTGCTTATATGAAGTTCAACCTTCTTAGCCGAACTGATCATCGCAAAACTTAGGTTGTTCTCCGCAAAGTGAAATCGATAATATAATCAGTAACATGTGCACGCGTACGCTGTCGAGAGGCGCCTATTCAGAGGTTGCTCTGACAGTAGTATTGATACTCATTAGAGTTATTAAATATCTTGATTTATGGTATGTAATACTACTGGTAATACAATAGTATATAGTTGGTGTGAAATGTGTGTATAGTGTTATCGTTATGATTAGGGAGTGTGTGGAGATACGAACTAGGGTGTTTGGGAGAAACCATCCGGAGACGATCAAAGCACTCGGAATGTACGTTGAAGTGCTCAGGAAGCTGTCACGGTTCGAGGAGGCACATGAACTTGAAAAGTAGTGAAATGGGAGGTATCGGGATGAAAATAGTGACAAGTTGTGGAATTTAGTGATATTTTCTGGATTTTAACCGTAGTGGAATTTGTTATTAGGGAAATCCAAGACCTGCGAGCAATACAGAGCTCCGACGTTTTTGAAGGGGAAATGGGAAGACCTGTGCAACGCCGTGAACCGGAGCAGCAGACTATGTGATGTTGTAACCCATTTCAAGGATGTAATTTTATAGGAAGTAAATTCGTAGTGTTACTGTAACAGATGTGGTTATGGTTGTGGTTGGTGATGATAATGAGTGAGTATTGGTCGGGAGAATGTGTATTGGGAGAATTGATACATGCAGAGGGGGGGGGTGGTTTCGTAGAGAAATCGAGGCGATCAGCGTCCATCCAAATTCGTTGGCCAGAGGGAATCATCCAGGAACCTGTAATGATCCCGTTTTGAATTTTCTAAATGTCTAGGAACACATTCTCCAATAAGTTTACCATGTAAATGTCATCACATTAGGAATATTTTGCTCATTGTTATCAAGCCCTTGGGAATGTTATTTCTCAAAACTAGATGGGTCCTTGGTTAGACGTGCATGGCAGAATCATAACCATCGTAACCGGAACGACTTTTATAATTATTATATCTATCATAGGGACTTCAGTAATAGTGATATCTGTGCATGAGAAATCGATCGTCGTTGTTCTAGTGCTCTGTGAAAACTGGTCTTAGTGAGATGGTTGCTTTACAGGATTACACCTTTATTGTTTTCGTTCCTTATTCCTCCTCCCCATGTTCGCATGTATGCAAAGGTGCCAACGGCAATTTGAGGAGCTGAAGAGCTGCAAGTATGATGAGCAGGCGAAAATGAGATTATGTGTATCCATGAATGATGAACCTATTTCTACTCATTGTCTAGTAGTATCTTCTGTGTGCATTATTGATATCTTTCATTGTACGGAGTATGTTGGAGAAGCCCGAGATAGATTTGGGGTTTTCATCATCACCATTCTCTCATCGACTGGTATTGAATTGATCCACTTTGACACTGGTAGATCTAACAGGGAAGAGTCTTCACGGAGAATTTGGTGATAATTGCCGAGTATTATGTTAGTGTGCATGCGTGCAGATTTGGGGTCTTGGGAGCGATCCTGGCTGAGGGTTTTGGATAGGTCTCATTCGAGTACTGCGGAGAATGCCGATCTTGGAGTGCTACTCTTATTGTCTGGCAAAGCAGCCTTTTAGTCACTAAACTTTAGTGACAGATCTGGGCTGTATTAGGAAGGTGGTCAAGACGATGCGATGTCGTGATGATGATTATGATGATGATGATGATGATGATGATTATGATTATGATTATGATTATGATTATGATTATGATTATGATTACGATTATGATTATGATGATTTTCATCGATACTCCACGTGAATGGTCGTGTATACTAATTTTCTGGACACCGTATTGAAATGAGCAGTCAATTGAAGAGGGCAAAAAAGTGTGGAACTGCCTCACTCGTATTCGTCTGTTATGAAATCTGTGAACTGTGAAGTTGTGATAAACGAGTGTAATTATTAGTAGTGTGGAAATGAAGTAAAGGGAAATATTCTGAACTTGGTCAGTTGGAGGTTGTTGAGAGTAAATCGACCTCATGCCAAGACAGTTACAATTCGAACCTCCCCTGGTAGATTGTGAGTGGTAGGTCTCATCCGGACCTGATGTGTATCTTCCATTGGGGACCTAAAGATTCTCTCGAGGTCAGGCACCACCGATATCGTTGTCGACACCTCCGGACCTCTTATGAAGAGATGAATGCTCATATCCCACATGTTCAGGAGAAGCATGCTCGGTGAGTTTTGTGGCGCAGTGACGGTGATTCTAGCGTATAGTTGTTCTCAGAAGTATAGGAGTCTCCGATCGTCGTCATTCCATTCCTACTGAGAAAAGGCAAAATGTTAATAGTCCTACGCCTAAGTATTACATCCATCAACATTGAGAAAACGGTTAAGTCGTTGCTTAGATACTCGCGTTGTTGTGACCAACGTGTGGCAAGTAACTTCACTAAACTGCACGAAGTCGGTCTGCAACAGAAAGTGGGTAAACTCTATCACTTAGTGCATAATAATATACCAATCATACTAGATATTATTATATTTATCCACATATAAATATTAGTAATTATGGTTGGGGCTTACCTCATTGGTAGGTTCGCTATCCGGGTTTCTCATGGCACTCCAAGACGGGACTACTGTTGAATCCGAGAAAAGCTGTGGTGAAAAGGCAGAAATGATTATATGGTGTATTGGTGTTGGTCGCTATCGGATTGCGTTGCTCAATGTGGTGACTACCACGATTCACCAGTATGCGAATCGGTGAAGGAGTGGTATCGTGCGAAGAAAGTCGGCAATCGCGTTGAATGATAGTAAATGTCAAGTAGTTGGATGATATTCAGTGTTGTTGTTGACGGGTTGCCAATTCGATAGAGCGGTGGTAACCTTAGTTGTTGAGTTCTTCAATGATGTCAACAATGCACAATGCTTCAAAACAGAAGAAGAACTGTACCGAGGAACCGAGTAAGCACACTCATCATTTCTAAGAGCTATGTGTTTTATCAGCAGCAGCATCGTCATCATCATCACAGCATCAAGACAGACACGTTCGCATCGTATCTCCTAGGGAGAGGACCTCTGTGGTGCTATTCGGTAAGTCCATCTAGATAACGGTTATGGGCACCTTTTACCGTGAAGTTTTGGTGTTGAACTTCATCTATAATAATCTCTCATGAGACTACTGCTATCAACAAAGCTTGACTCGCAGCCACCTCCGAATTGCACATGTTGTGAATGTGTTATTATGGTCATCAAATAAGGTCATACCACTTTCTATTCGAGAAAGTGGTACGTGAAGCTGTTCTACGTTGTTATGGTTTCACAACAATAGAGTTTCACCCTAGTGATATGAAAAACACTAGTGGAAAACATATTTCACGACTGCTGCATAGCGTTTTTCACAGAGTATTACGCCAATTCACGTAGAACCGGTGAAAGACCTCGACAGTATTTTTATCGTATATTTTTATGAGGAGTTTTTTCCAGATAGCGATAGTGTCATTGTCTATGGCTAGAATATCAGGTCCTGGTAAGCGTAGAGGCTCGGCTACAAAGTCTGTCACCAGCCCAATAAGGATGTCTAGCGTTGTGCGTGTTGGGCTGATGAACTCTAGAAAGCTCATGGTAAGGGGTATTGGATATGAGTGATCTCTCGTATCGAATTGGATCAGGCTCCGTCGGGATCGCCGCGTCTATCTCTGCTGGGAGGAGGGAATACGAATGATAATGTGAGGCGTTTGTTGTTGATCTACGATGAATCATATCGGACTTGAGATACGAGCGGCACGCAATAGTAAAATACAACAGGGCGTCGCATCGCCGAGTACTGAGCAGAGGAGAGTGCGAATTCCCAAGCATATCAAATACATCAAGAGCTTGTAAGTGTGGGAAATGTTTTATGAATCCTGATGAACATGAAGCAATGCTTCCTTAGTCATAGTAATAGGAATATGTACGTGATCAACTACGCTCATCGGTGATGATGAGAAAATTCCGAGAAAATTTTGGGAAATTCTTCTACTCGAATTCGTGTGTAAACTCCTATAATTATTGAGGAAACTCCCGAACTCAGCTGAGGGAATCGACCATATACTCCGGCACTGCTATAGTGAGCACGGTTGAGGCCGCTGTTGTTTTGTATCACCTAACTGTAAGTATCACGTGTTTTACACCCATTGAAGGTACGCTGGTGATCATAATAGTGATAATCCTAGTCCTGAACATAGAGAGGCATTGGAGAAACTTGACCGAATTCTAAGAGGGCAGTGGACCTCACGCTCTCATCATCAGAGTAACTCCTCAAATGTGAGTGAGAAATAAATGTTGTTGCTGCTACTTCAGATGGAGGCCAACGGGATGCGAGCAATGACGAGGATGTTGGTCCGCCGCCGATGAGCTCAGTAGAGGAGGCTATTGGTTTCTTCGCATCGATGGGCAGTAGCACGAGTGTTAAGTTCAAGTAAGTGAGCAGATAATAGTCGTAGGAATAGTTCTTTGGAGTTTCACCTGTTATGTGAAAAACACTGGTAAAGAACATATTTCACAACTAGTGCATATCACCGCGAATATCGGGTTTTCCACAGAGTATTACGGGTGAAACTCTTTTGCACAGAGGAAATCATGAATATTGTGATGATGGATCTGCCCATTTCTTTCGTCATTGATGCAGCGTGAGAAAGCATGTTTGGTTACCTCAGCTGAGCTCGTAAGTTTCTTCAAGTACATTATGGAAATCCACACACACATTTGAGTAGAAGTGAAAAAAAAAACCCATGATAATTTCCCAAAATCTCATCAGAATTCTCACATTTTCACCAACACATGTAGTTGACCATGTGCATAGATTTCCACACTGCATTGATGAGTCTATACTGCGTTAAGGTTCCTCAACCGTCGGCCGCTGACAGACCCTTATGATTTCGAGCCATATGACTTGGTGGTCACCACCCCCGATGAGCGCAACCAGGAGTACTTCTCTATCTCCAGCTCTGGCATAGTAAGAATGGACACAGATGGTCTCTTCGCACGAGACGCATATGACATGTTAGTCAATAAGCTTACGAGTAACGGTGATCACGAATATTACCGTTTCACTCTAATGTAGTTGATCACTGTATGTAAGCCTCGTTGAGGTTCCAGGCTGGAGCATTTCTTAGTTGGTGCGGAATACAGAATTTTCGCTGAAGAAATTTGATAATCCTTATTTCTAAATGAGTATAATTCTCAACAAATAAATGCCAGAGAAAAAATAGGTTTTTTATGGTAAAAGTGTGAACAACAAAAATCACAACAAACTTGGAATTGATACGTTCTTGGAGACTCGACTGTGTGCAGTTGTGGAAAAATATGTGTTCGGTATTCTCAACTGAGCTCGGCAGTTCCCTCCCTAATTTACACTGGTTGAACTGTTCGGAAATCAACAAAAAATTCCCAAAAATTTCCGCATATTGTCACCAGCACATGTGTATTTTCCCGCACTCACCGTGAGAGAATTAATCATCACTGTGTATCGAGCGTGGAGGTTTATATTCTCTTTCCGGTACGCTTTTGCCCTGGAGAGCCCTCGGAGCACACGACTCTATCCAATTGGATGGAGGAATCTATGCGATTTCGGGTGAGGCCGAGATACATCTTGTTTAAGACATTTTTCGTTCAGGTGCTCCGGAGTATGTCTGTTTTCAAGTATTATACCCAGAGAAAGATCATTGGTCGTTGGAGAGTGAATGTAGGTTGATCGTGGAAAATATCGAAAAAATTAATTTTAAGTGTGGGAAATTACGATAGTTTATTATAGATTTATATTTATTAATTGAGTTTCACCCGCGATATGAGAAACACTGGTGAAGGTGCTATATTCACCGATAACGAGTCATTCGAAGTTTGAAGTTGCTCGTTTGGAAATGATTATGAAAATAATGCTACCTCGTATCGATATCATATAAAACAATGAATTCGGTTGAAAAGAACAGTGGAGATAACGGAAATGCATATCCTCATCGAATGCATGTTGTTTGGGGACGACCTAAGCAGCCGCACGCACAAGAAACCTTTTGAAAGGGTTGTTGTGGGAGTAGCTGTTCCTATGATGACACTGCTCAGGCACGACTTAGAAGGTTTACATCGACTAGGAAGAAGCTCTCGGAGAGCCTCTTGATGGCCCAGCCTCGGTTCGCGAGGGCGATGTTGGAGGTAAGTTGAAGATACTGTGACCTTTGCGTAAGTGATTACACGTTTAGGTTCAGTCTAGTGTCTCTGCTATTGGGCGTATTAGAATGGTGAAGATTGAAGAGGAGAAGTGTTATGATCTCAGTACATTCATTGCTATTCAAGAGAAGGTAACAATCGATTGCACAGCAACAGCATTACAGCTTCTCATACGACAGGTGCGTGATGGAGGTAGCTCGACCACGGGCCCAATTCGGGGAGAAAGTAAGGACTTGGGAATTTTCTTAGCTCGGTGGTATAGCCCGTTTTACGTGAAGGGCGCAAGAGTTGATGTAAAAAAAGCGATATTCGCGAATTACACCGGACTAATCGTCCGATATCACGTGAAGAACATATAACGTGTTTTACGCGTTATTCACTGCATCATGCGTTTTTCGCGAAGTGAGATGTGAAATATGTTTCTCATTAGTGTTTTTCATATCGTGAGTGAAGCTCCGTCGAAGGTCGTCGTCTATAGTTACTATAGACTTTTGCATTCAACCAACTGATAATGATTTAGATCTGCGTAGTGGTTGGCTGATGATACTGATCACGCTTACTTGACGTGGTCAATCCTTTGAGATGATCTGTGCTTTCACCACTAAAACGCATTTGATGCTCTATTTGAATGGCTGTCGACTTATATATATCTTGTTGAGATGTTAACTATGTGTGATAGTAATCTATTAACTCATGCAATGGAGATTTACCCGTTTTACGTGAAGTGGCGTAAAACTCGGTGAAAAACGCGATATTCGCGGTGTACTGCAGTAGTCGTGAAATATGTTTCTCACTAGTGTTTTTCATATCACTAGGGTGAAATTCCAATGATATATAACGATATCTATTGAGATGTGAACTATGCTTGTATGCAGTCGGTGACGAGTTGAAGAGAGGAGATTCTGGAGGGGACGATGCAGGGGGAGCGATAGAAGATATTGAGATCAAGTGATCTGAGGGCCGACCGGAATTGAAATAGGCGACTACTTTCTGGCAGCCTCGAAGATGTGGTTAATACTGTCTACGACACTTTCACGGCGACGGCTACTGATGCTATTGAAAGGAGTAGCAACGCTATGAATTGTCCGATTTATGGTATGGTAATTGCCTTCAGGAGAAGAATGCGAGAAGATGAAGGTTGAGCGCGCCTGGTGGTCCTCAAGGAGAGGCGTCGCTGTTGAGAAGCGACATCAGAGTAGGAGTGTTTCAATGACTTACATTAGGAGCTTTTCTCAGGGGAGCGGGAGCTCGGTCGTGACATCGCAATGCAGAATGTGAGAAGACTTCCGTCCTTCCTACGACTGGTTGAGAGACGTTGCCATTCGGTGAGTCTTCCTGGTGTCGCCCTGCGAAGCTGCGACGATTATCATTTGAACTGGAGCAGTTAGGATCGAATTGTACATTGGAGTTTCACCACCGCGATATGAAAAACACTAGTGAAAAAATAGTTCACATTTCACTTCAATGAAGAACGCATAAATAGATAACGCCCGAAACACGTGATGTGCGCCGCGTGATATGGGGTGGTCAGTCCGGTGTAATCCAGCAAGTATTTCCAGTTCAATTCATATCGCGAATATCGAATTTTTCCACACAGAGTATAACGCTACTTCACGTTAAACGGGTGAAACTCCATTGTTCGCAAGGCTGTTATATCGCAGAAAGCAACCATGCATCACTCGTGGAGTCGCTTGAGATTTCGGCTCAGCATAACAGTGTGGGAAAATACATAACATGGTCAACTCTGTGTGTTGGTGATAATTTGAAATAAAACTTGGAAAGTTTTGGGGGATTCTTTCTTATCGGCACTTATACACTTCTATCCGAGTACGTCTATAAGCTGTTATCGTTTCTGAGGAAACACCTGAGCTCAGCTGAAGAACATATACTCCAACAATGCAGCATTACTCACTTTTTACCGCAGTGAATGAAAGCAATAACATGGTCAACTACCCGTGTTGGTGACAATATAAAAATTCTGAGAAAATTCACTTTCAATTTTCCGCAATTCTCATTGTTTTCTGTGCATTTCTATTCGAGCTTGCATGTGAACTTCTAGAATTAGTGAGGAAATTTCTGAGCTGAGCTGAGGAAAGCAATCATATATTCTAGCACTGTGTTCCCGACAAGTAATGTGTAAGCTCACTGTGCTGTGGTTAGGAGATCTTGATACAGCTCTGTCGAACTCTTAAATAGCAGCATAGGGTGTATCGGAATCTAGGTCATTGTTGAGCGTGCGTGTTGAAGTGGATCTTCGCAGGCTCTAGTGGAACTTGGCATACGCTCAGTGTTGCGTCTTCTCGACACACTTTTGATGCACCCCAAGCTGCTATCGGTCACTGTCAATTTCAATGACGATGGTCTGGTTGGTGGTCCTCATCCTAGTAGATCAGCCCTTCTCATCGCGGTGAGTTTCCGCGCCATCGCTGTTGTACTGAGCTCATCAGACTCCAACTTTGGCCGACTTTCATGCGGCATTCAAGGGGCTTCTGCGCGACACCGTATCAGGGATCAGTGCTCCTTACGGCGACTTCAAAAACTACGGTCGACAGCGATTGCGGAAGTTCCTGAAAGCATCGGGAGATGGTAAGCAGTTGCGAGTTGAAGAAGATTTGGTATTGAAAACAGATGTGCTCTTAGATGGAAACGGGCATCACAGTGAGGCCACGATTGTTGAGGAAGCGTTACAGAAGGACCGACGGTAGATTCAATAAGTTTATGCCTGCAAAAGGATCGACTTGTATTAGATTCATAACAGCGTCGGAGAAGATATTCGATAGATTGTGTGTGGATTTCGAGACGGCGTTGGAGTCTGCTCAGCGACAGCTAGTTGAGTACAGAGAGATATACGAGTGAGACGAGTTGAAGGATGTTACTTGGAGTGATTCGTCTTCCTTTGTACGCCTCATTGAGTGACCTGTTACGACAAAAGTACAAGCGCTTTGATCTGAAACTCGGCGTAAAATATTACGTCTAGCAAGATCCTTGAATGGGCTCGTTTACTGCTAATAGATACGGTCGAGCCTGGGATGAGGAGAAATTCCTCGCAAAGATGAAGTTCATCAGCGCTGATGGTGGTCATTCTATGGTTGTGATCGGCTGCGAATGCTCTGCCGCAGAACCGGAAGGAAGGCCTGTTGATCCAGTAGCATTGCAGCGAGAGATGGCGCGCATGACGGAGTTCATCGGGAAGGTCGATAGATTGAATAATGTATGGCTATTGCATGTAACGGCTGATGTCAGGCCTGGTTTCGGCAGGTTCAAAGTGTGGGGGCGCTGTCAGTAGAAGCGAGAAAGTTGAAGCAGTTGTTGGCGCCGATACCCCAGCGAGCTTTGGTGACTATGAAGGGTCTTCTACTGTCGGTCCTTCGGGAAGAGTGTAAAGCAGCGGGTGAAAAATACATAGCTGTTAATCACGAGCTCGACCAGAGACCGACCAAGTTGGAATCTTTCGTGAGGTGAGATTGGGCTCCTGATGAGCCAGAATCACAGTCTGTGTTAAGATATTTGGAAATGCTGGAGCGGTTGAAGGAGGAAGAGCTGAGTGAACTGGAGATGGCTAAAGTCGAAGTTGAAGACCTCTATCTTCTGGCTCGACAGTGAAATCTGCTGTTGCGGGGCCTGGGATGAATTGATGGAGTTCAGATACAAAATGAAGGTCTCGGTTGATGACAGTGTGAAATTAGAAAGTCTCATGCAGTTGTCGACAGACTGTATCAACAGTAAACTACCGGCGGCTTGTGAGTACACTAGGGCGGAGAAACGACCAATGATGGAGGAACTACGTAGGGGGATGAGTGTGGGCAGCAGCTACTCAGTCCTTGCTGTAGATGCATTAGCGCATACACTGGAGGAGACCGCCAGGGGTATGAGGGAGACCATTACTGATCCAGAAGGGAGATTCATGGCGTTAGGAGAGGCTAGATGGGCGGTGGCTGATCAAGTAAGGTTGATGTCCATGGTTTGGAAATTCCCCTGTTGGGCGTGAATGTATGGTATTCCTCTACGGTCGTAACACTGGATAGGTTCTGGAAGAGTTGGCTGAGATGAAGTCGTCTGGGGCTCAGCTGAAGCAACGGATGGAGTGGGCACAGCAAAGCGAGAAGTTCATCGACGTGAGTAGCATAACGCATCCTTTCTGTGAGAAGTCCGCCGCTATCTACAGGAGCACGCTGGGGGTACGTCCTTGGTGAACTCAAGCAATCAGCTGAGGCCTCATGAAGTGAGTTGCCATAGTAAGGTTGGTCCAGTATTTTTTTGATTACAGACGACAGGGCTTGGTCAGCTGATTGAAGAATCCGAGAAAATCTGGACCGAGGCAGGTGTCTTGTATGTCGCAACTAGTGAGTTCATATTGGTAGATTTCCCTATGGCATAAGCTTCTGTCGAAATGGTTGGGAGAAGGAGTTTTCACGTGCGACATACCCGCTTTCAAGGAAGCTTGTTCAGTCCGTGTTAAGCCTGCCCAGGCTGCCCTCCAAGCTGGCAATAGTAGCAACCAGCAGCAGAGTCTTCTCGATATTACAATTTCATCACCGTAGGTGGTCTGATGAGTGGCGGACGAACTAGTCCGCAAAGTGGTTTCGATTCTGAACGATACGGAGAATTATACAAGGCTTTGGTCCAAGACATCGTTGAGGTATGTTCATTGTCGTTTTTGCTCGGTTGTGAGGCATGACTCACAGGTCTGGCAGCGATGGAATTGTTCAGTGTTGGAGGAGATTCGCTTGCTCAGTGCCAAGCAATGGGAAACCCTCATCGAGCAAGCTGGCTTGTCGCTCCCGACGAAGCTGTCTGCCGTCACGGTCGGTGCTTTGATGCTCTTGGTCACTTGAAGGTCTCAGTGGTCGTCAGATATCGCAACTGGCCGAGTCCGACTTCTTCAACTCGGAGTTCATACGGCAGTGCATCGACTCAGTGAAGGAGTCGACAAGTTCATGATTATTCATTAACGAGTTGTCCTTGTGGTCCTCCTAGCAGTGTCGTGTTCATGATATGGGGGCTACCAGAGTACGATGAGAGAGAAGCCAGTGTGTTGCTCTTGACTGAGCACGGTATATGGCCCGGCTCCAACCACTAACAGCTGCTGTTGTAAGCGAGTCAGCGAATGTCTGTCGAAGGGGCGGGAATTATTTGGTGTGTTCGTACTGGTAGCCCATCTGAGGATCGGAATGCTGTTAGCTTACTAGGCGCAATTGAGACCACGATAACAGCTGAAGACTTTTCAGGTCACGAGGGAAACGGACTACTACCGAATGGCTGATGGAGTTGCGTTGTTGGCCGTCTTATTATACCACGCCTCGCCCAGTTCCGCAGTATCTATGACCATTGGTCAAGTACCCCTCATTCGAGACTTCTTCTCGTTATTCGAGCGAGATGCTTTGGTAGAACTTGAGAAAGATTTCTATACCAACAGCAAGGCGAATGCAGAGATAATGCAGTCACAAAACAACAACGAGTAAGAAACGAATCTCGACTCGAGATTGGTCATTAAAGTCGCTCAGCCATTCTCCTCAGATTCCCCATGACTTGCAAGAAACGACCAGAACCTGTCGGATTGACGGTGGTCCAGTTTCTCTACTTGTGCCTGTTCCATCTCGACCTCGACACTTTTGACCGGCGTGCAGAAGCTGGCCCTGCACTAGCAGAGTTGATGGAGCTGATCGTATCCTTCTTCAGGAAATGTGACCGTGAGGCTACGGGCTTCATCAGGTATGTTCCTGTCACTATGGAGAAATCGAACATTGTATTGATCAGTTGGACGGACTTTGTCGGACGTTACCGTAGCATTTTGCTTGAAAAGGCCGACGGGGTAGGCAGTGGCGTGAGGTCCGTGACCGCCGCTATGAACACGGAGTTAATTGATGTGTTTCGGCACGGGTGGGCAGTGCGGAGGAGCTCTGGAATAGTCATGCGATATCCCCAGGCCTGATGGCATCGTTGAAGCCCATTCAGCCAAAGCATATGGACTCAACTACTTACTGATAGCCGACTCAGGACGTGGTCCACCGCCGATGAGACTGCTCAAACCACACAAGAACGTAAGATCCCGCCTGGATGTTGGTAAACTCACTGTTGGCTCCATTCAGCGTCTCCAAGTATGGAAGACTCTCCCGTTCAACCACGAAACCACTGATGTCACAGACTCCTTCATCATGTCCTGCGGTAGACCAGTCTTGGGCGTGCGAGCTTTGGATTCCCCCGTCTCAGGATACAGTGATAGTGACCATACAGCTGCTGCCCTGCTCTCTTCGCAACATATATGCTTCTGGGATATCCGTAAGAGCGAGGAAGAGTGTCGCTTGAAGGCCATCGTGAAAACTAAGCGTTTCACAACGACTGGTTTATGGCCTTCGATACAGCTCGGCAACCGATGGGTTACATGTACCCGCACCAAAGGCTCGGCCGAGGGTCCTCTACCTGCTCACGGGGTGCCAGACTATGTTCTCGATGTATGGCATCATTCCGAGCGCCGTCGTGTAGGCTACTTGATGGTAGCCGATGCTTATTCCGAGGCAAGAGGCTCATTGACCACCTGCCTTTTGGATGCAGGCTCAGAACGCCTGGTCACATCGACGATGGGCGGCTCAGTTCTTCTGTGGGATTCGTCGCGTATGCAGACTATCACATGTCTCAATGAGAGATTGCCTTGTGACGGTAGCACACATGTTAAAGGTATCAGCAGTCTGGCCTATGGCGATACACGAAGACTTCTATTCACGGCACAGTTCGACGGTTTCTGCAAGGTCTATAACGCCCAAGCCTCGGCCTTCGACCGACCACGCGCTGTCGCAACACTGAGAGGTCACCAGAGGTCGCTCTCGAGCGTTGCCATGCTTGATGGTACCGACACACTCATCACCGCAGATCGATCTGGGGTCGTTAAACTATGGGATACCCGAATGTGGACTGAATATCAGACCCTCAACTCACGCACAGTGTCCAATCTAAAGTCCCTTTTTCCTTTTGGGCCAAACCGCTTGGTACTCGTCAGTGACAAGAGAATGCATTTTATGTCACTCACGGAAGATCCCTCGGACCCGGTAACCAACGAGATGATGGTCACTGCATCATGTCATTCGGAGCCTTCACATATTGTCGTGGCTATTGCCATCAATTACCTCGACCGTGAAGTCCTCATAGCCCACCCGCATAATGTCTGCATTTACAGTCTGTATGATGGAAGTCTCGTGGAAAAAATAACGTTTCACCACGTGAGGGGTGCAACTACTATCACCGCCTTCGCCATCGATGAGAACACCTTCGAGCATTTCATCATCGGCACTTCAGCCGGGCACGTGACATGCCACGCAGCGGACGATGGTTCCCCGACTGATCGCCCAGACTTGAGCAGTGACTCGAGAGCTCCCTTCTTGCATCAGTCAGTCACTGGTCTCGCCATCTCTAGGCTGTCACACAACGAGCCCATGAAGCAGCCCTGGGTTGCCGCCTGCTCCTCTTCCAGTGGCGTCGTCTACAAGAGGTTCGCTAGTCCCGATTGGGTGGAAATCGATATACTTGGTGTCAAGTTGAACGCCATCTATGCTCTGCCCGCCGTCATCGTTGCTCTATCAAAATCACATCGGAAAATCTTTGCCATCGACACAGCTTGCGGCAGCTGTCGTGGCTCGACCCTATCTCAGAATCGAGAAGTGAAGTCACATTGTTCAATGCAATGCTCGCAGTCTATCGCGCTACTTATGAATCCGGGAAGTGTGGAAATATGGCGGTGTGAGCCCGGGACTCCTCCTCGACTTCACCAGGACATTCATGTGGCTAATTTACCACACCCGAAACACATTCTGCATTTTCCGCAAGCCACTGGCCTAAACTCATCCAGTGACGACGCAGCCCCCGGACTGGATGAAGATTTGGACCGACTCGCCGCTCTCGACGGTGAAACCAGCTTTCTGCTGGACTCGAGCTTACGAGTATCTTCTCGATGGTTGATGGCGAAGCAAGCCAAACAGCTCGATGTCCACAGAAGTCTCTTCGGGTCAGGATACGGAAACCATCGATCAAGATGTGGCTATCGGAAGACGTCAACTGGACAGCTTTGTCGACAAGGAACGGCGGAATGCTCGAGCCGGGGTAGCTTGGCAGTAATCAACAGCGCTGGTACAGTCGTACTCCTCACGGCTGATGAATTGGAGGAAAGAAGTCGATTTCCTACTGGAGGACCTCAGGCAAGTGGCCGCATCGATGCGGCAGTACACATCTTGTGTACTCCATGTATACTGTTCCTGCGCTGTGGTGCCTCCGACAAGGAAAGTATCCTTGAGATTTGGGATGAGACGGATGGCAAGTTGCAAGCATCCAACCGACCCCTTGGGACGTATCAGTTGCCGAGCTCCCTAGCGCACTTAAGCACGAATATCAGCATGACCATGCACGCCTACAACGTAGTGAGAGAGCTCATCGGTGAGGACGAGTGTTCTCGTATTTTTGCTGTCCGGTCGCGCGTGCGTGGCGCTTCCAACGAGGCCTCAGATGGATTCGTCAAGAAAGATGCTGCAGCTGATGGCCTCTATATTCGAGGATCAGAGAAGCCTTCCACTTCTCGTGTCAACGAGGAAGCCTCTGCGTTGTATAGAATCGGCGAACGGCATCCTCTGCGGACACCGAAGTCGCTCTTGCCTGGTATTGTGATGCGGGACTACGCCCGGGTTGAATCGGATAACATGGACAGTTCCACTTCGCTTCCGTCGTACCTCAGTCGCAGTGACTTGGCAAAGAGTCTGAACGACCGATTCAACCATATTGAATCTCGGTATTGGTTGCGGCCTACTTCTCAATCCTCTTCCCGACAAAATGATCGAAACGTGGTCAATTTCGAACCTCAAGTGGCGAGTTTCAACTTGTCGATGAGCGACCAGTCCTCGGTGGAACAATCTGTTCTTGGTCATAGAGTAGAAGAGAGCTCCCGAAGTCACGATGACGAAAGATCAATGGTTCGGGATGAGGCCGATCGTCGACCCGGCACCAGCGAGACCTCCCGCCGAGCTTGCGTTGTTGCCATGTCACCAAGGCCTCATACTGCATCGAGAGCTCAACCCGGCGATGGAGCTTCCCGCACAGTCCAACGAAGGCCCCCGCTCCCGAGCGACGACGTATCCGTACCTGGTCCAAGAAGCCTCCATCCGGTCCCGTCATCAGCGAGTACTGCTCCGACTCGGCCTGTCAGTAGACTAACTCGGTCGAAACATCGCCGGCAGATATTCGAATAGATTGGTAGCGCTTGTGACATTTGCTTAGTGTCGTGTTCAAGTGGCAAAAGTGTGATAGACTCACAAGAGGAGAATCTAGCATCCGTTATGGCTGTTACTTGAACAATAATTTGCTGCCCTTCCAAACAGGCGTTGGGCAGTAGATCGGTAAGTCTCACTAGCAATGCAACAGGGCGGCCTCATCCGTATGCCAAGAGCTACGGCTCGGAGTCCACCACCTGGGCGGGAGGTGGGGAAAAGAAATAATCGAGACTGTTACTAACACATATGGCGTAGTGACTAAGTCGTGGGTTTGGGCAATGATGACTCATCAGTTCGAGTCAGGGAAGGAATGGAACTTGCAAATAACGTACTTCATCGACAACCGGTCAGAATCGGTCAGAACGTCATGACAACTGGTCTTCATCGATGGCCAGAACCATATTAATCGCGATTCCTGATCGATTTCGCCAGTATTGTGTATCCTCCTCAAAAGGATAAGATGTGTGTTTCTCGCCGAATGTAATGCACCCGTAAACTGCATTTGTATGTCGGAAAAAATATACTTATCACAACACAAGACTGATGGAGAGGTGGAAATGACCTGCCAGAATGGTCGCCATCGAATTCAGTCACTTATACCGGGGAAGGATAGTCGATACGTACATGAATGATGATTGTAGTACCGCACAAGCCAGGAGAACAGCAGCAAAGGAAGGGTACTCGTGGAGTAAGAAAATGCTCGTTATGAAATATGTGATGAGTATCGCCACACATTGTGCTATGTTCTTGATCACAACAGACAACCATTTCACAACGATACCTGCCGTCCAACTCGACAAGGTCCACGACACCAGGGCGATGAGTGTACGCTCATCCCAGTGGTCGAAAAGATGACTCAACCTCCGAGTAGCGTCACCATCAATAACAGGCGCTATGACTATGAGAGTCCCCACGCATAGACAACTTGCTATCGACAGCATGGCCTGAAACAGGGTGGAACTACAGTTGAATACGACAGCCGCTATTGAGGGACCTTCTGGTAATAGAAAGGGACATCGCCACCAGCTTTGATACACTTCTCGGAGTACACGGCACCGATGCTGGTGAACGTCAAAGTCGCCAAGAAAAGGGGCAGTCCCTGGCTGATCGTTGCGAACTGTCGCTCCTCGAATACTCGTATCTCATAGAAGGCCGCGGTTGTCACGAATACTAGGAGGAGGCATTGCCATTGTATGACCGAGTATCTATAGCGATTCTCATTGAGATTGGAAGTGAACACCAGTGATGGAAGACTCAGATCACAACTCGCCATACGAAAGCAAATTCATCACATTCAGAATCGAGAAGATCGTAGATGCGCCCCATGGAACTCATGATGTTTACGGGAGTTTTGAGTCATTTTGATGCCTAGGAGGAAAGATCTTCCTACCTCAGAATGAGAATATTGATGCATAAAAAATGCCAAACGAATGAACCCGTTACCGACTTAGTGCCCATGAGCAAACTAGAAAGGATGGCATTGGTCGGAAGGACTGCTTGGGACATCACCTTCAACGTACCAGCATCGATGTATTGCAACGCTCGCAGGCCCAGAATCTAATGAGCTGCTTTATGCGCCTAGGATTTCGCTGCCTTACTCTGGCCATAGTGAAGCTGAGGGCGCTGGGGATGAGTCGAAGGAAGTAGCGAGTGGACCACATCGAATGGCACTGTTTCGAACCAAGACATGCCAGGGATATGCCCAGTGAAGCCACGAGTGACAGAACATTCTCAGCGAGAACCATGGATCCTGCTGAGTATCTACATGGTATACAGAGCTCGATCGGAACTGGGGGATGCCGACTACCGGGACGGCCGCATGGAATTCACTCAAGAGTGACGACCATCCTCGAGCACCTCGACCCCTATGGCTCATTATGACGAGCATAAAATGACTATCATTCCGTGGCTAAGTCGATAGTTTCCTGCCCACAGTACCTCTCATCGGGAGACCGAGCACTGTAACTCCAGTAGACCATAACAGCCTTGTTGGCATCGAGGAAGGTGTAGAGGAACAAGAGTAGAACTCCGCCGCTGCCTGCACTCACTGCAGTGAACTGGCCTTTCCTGATGTGATCACATAGCTGACAGCATGATGAGGTTTGGGGGATTATTGGGTTACACCATAGTCCCGTGCTATACCACACTTTGCGCAAATCACCTATGTTGTTCGATAGGCTCCTTCAGTGGCTGCTGATGCTCATACAGGCCCGCATACTCGAGATCAGGCAGCTGGTCATTGGCTGCTGGTGGAGGGAGTCTTTCCTGTGAAACAAAGCACCCATTTTGAGATGATCATTCTCATGACCCTTCTTGGATCAGGGCGCCCCATATTACCAAATCATTGTGGAGACCATCAACGTGCTGAGGCTGAAGCTGCCTGGGTAGTGTCTGGTTTGGTGACGGTGGGATGGCGGTCATCAAGCGGGGTTTCCACCGGCAAACTACGCAGTTCATAGATGATGGATTCCTTCCTCTCGAAGACCAAATTTTTCAAGTGGCTTGCCGAATAATGATAGCTGACGTCGACGAGGAAGTGGCAGAAGGTCATCGGTCGCGCTCTAGAATCGGGCCTATGAGCACTCATAATAACACCAGCATGCACGTCAATAAAATCATATCATCGCTCATATAGCTCGACAGGAACAACAGTCTGTCCTCTCATAGCTACTACGTGAGACGGGAAGGACGCTTGCCTCAATTGGTCTATTGAACTGATCGTTAGCGGCTAACCGTTAGCCTACTCCCAATTGTGCTCCGCGAGACATACAATTCTCTGATTTGCGCTTCGCAAGTTCTCTCTACGAAGTTTTCCCAATGCAGAGCGCGAAATAGCGCCAAAAGCGTGCACTTGGACTCTTGGCGATGTACAAGACGCACTTACCAATAGATGCATCACGACCCTGAATAACTATACACCTCCGGCGGGGCTCGAACCCGCGGCCACGGGCTTAAAAGGCACGCGCTCTGCCGACTGAGCTACCGAGGCGCCCGGAGCGATCAATCAAAGAGCTGAGTGGACATTCATGAGCTGTATAATGTGAACGATACGAGACGCACTTACCAATAGATGCATCACGACCCTGATTAACTATACACCTCGGACGGGGCTCGAACCCGCGGCCACGGGCTTAAAAGGCACGCGCTCTGCCGACTGAGCTACCGAGGCGAACAAAGCGATCAATCAAAGAGCTGAGTGGACATTCATGAGCTGTATAATGTGAACGATACAAGACGCACTTACCAATAGATGCATCACGACCCTGATTAACTATACACCTCGGGCGGGGCTCGAACCCGCGGCCACGGGCTTAAAAGGCACGCGCTCTGCCGACTGAGCTACCGAGGCGCCCGGAGCGATCAATCAAAGAGCTGAGTGGACATTCATGAGCTGTATAATGTGAACGATACGAGACGCACTTACCAATAGATGCATCACGACCCTGATTAACTATACACCTCGGGCGGGGCTCGAACCCGCGGCCACGGGCTTAAAAGGCACGCGCTCTGCCGACTGAGCTACCGAAGCGCCCGGAGCGATCAATCAAAGAGCTGAGTGGACATTCATGAGCTGTATAATGTGAACGATACGAGACGCACTTACCAATAGATGCATCACGACCCTGATTAACTATACACCTCGGGCGGGGCTCGAACCCGCGGCCACGGGCTTAAAAGGCACGCGCTCTGCCGACTGAGCTACCGAGGCGAACAAAGCGATCAATCAAAGAGCTGAGTGGACATTCATGAGCTGTAATGATTGAATGAAGGTCAATTTGTTGGGCGAGGTTGAAGTGAGGCGCGCGCGATTGCAACGGATGGGTAGAACATATTGCAACGGATGGGTAGTACATATGAGGACCATACCTGAGTGCCTCCACGATTTTACCCAACCCTCCTCTTCCCATGTTATCTAGGAGGCCTATGTTGCCCCGCGGAGATGTATAGCCGCTATACTATAGCTATACTATAGCGACAGACCATTGCTTAGTAGGTGCAGCATGTGCACAACTAGCATGGTAATACCGCGGCCAACATGGGCGGTTCGGAAAGATAGACCATCGCTGACAACTGCATTCTATAACTTGTAATTCGGTTATCAAGTCCTGATCATCAGGGCCTGCTGTCATCGCTGCTGCTCGAGAGCAGCTGTCAGCAGGGCAACCAGAGAGACAGGTTGATGGTCCTTCAGCATGTTAGTTATTACTCGATGCTCCTAACCATGTGTTAGCTAGCTGCCTTGACAAATAGCTAACGTCTTTCACCGAACCAACTACCCAACATGCTTAGATAACAGACCTGGAATGTTTTCTATATGTATAGTCGATTAACAAGAAATGAGTCTCAAGGTCAACATAGTGAATAAGGAAGCCGTCGATGTCTGGGCTTGCCGATACTAGTGCCTTGGACGTTGGCGTTTCTGCCCTTTCATGAGATATTTGTCCGCCCGGGATATCGACGGCGGGAAAGAGTGCAATCGTGTGTAACGATAGTTTAACTCGCGGCGCCAATCTACAGAAATGTCTCTGCCGGCTGAGCTAACCACGGAAACTCATTCCTCCGCAACTAAATGAGCGATACACCTTGGATGTGGCTCGACTCCGGGAGATAAACTCTACAGGCGGGTCATGCCGAATCAGTACAGGTCTCAAACAATCTCCTCCTCTCGGACGATTCAGCTCCTTCCCTTTTCCAAATTACACAACCTGTGGATGCCCAGATGAAGGCCTAGCCCGTTTGTCACGAACGTCGGAACATCTTCCGTATGCAGAGGGATTGGTTTCTCTCAGTGAAGTTTGTAAGCGCATGTTGAGGGACAGTATCTGACTGTCGTTTGCTAATTATGGCTATTTCTAAGGATAGGTGTGCACAGCTGGGGCCATATGCGTATCACGATGCAAGAGTCATATTTTCTAGTGAATTTCACACAAAGTGAAATCACCCTATGATCCCGGTGCGTGAGAATAAACAACCTAAGACGCTCGTAAGTGAGCCGGATGCATAGTTCCAGAATAAGATCATGTTACTAAGATGCAAGATCCTTGAGTATTGAGCAAGCTTCCAGAGTATTGAGCTAGAATACTGGTTGCTGATGCGACTCGCCCATTGATGCTGATCCGTGATGCATGATGCAAACCAACCCTGATCACGATTAGTGATACTGAATCCCTGACTTTGAGTTTTCTCAGATGCTTGAGCTATGATTTCGTGCTTTGAGTACTTGAAGTGATTCCTGAGAATTTACTCTGATTGTTGAGTAATATCCCTGATGCAGCTCGTGCTACTGATGCAAATAACTACATCATATGTTAGTGCAGATGCAGAGCCGTAATCATACTGTTCAATTCAGACTCATGAATTAGGCCGAATCGTCACCACAGACTCGCTCATTTTGTAACAGGGGCATTTCGCACCGGCACACGAAGATGATGCTGATACATCAGCTCGAGTAAGTTGGAAACATTTCGGACTTTACACTATCCGAACACACCCATCGTACTTGGAATTGGTGTCGTTTTAGTAGTAATATCTCACAATCTCAATACATTTTTAGCCATAATCCTGGCTCATAAAGCGGTCCCTGATCCTCCAAATGTAACGCTTTCATCATGAGAGTTTCATAATACGGCAGCTATCAAAGCCCGTAGTTTACAGAAGTAGTAGTATTACCCAATTTTCCCGACAAATATATTTTATTCTACATATTCCCGTTGAACAAAAAATTGTGCGCGGAATGAGGTCCTATTAACAACGAGTAGACAAGTTTACGGTTGTGAAACTGAGATTGAGCGTATCAATGTCATTTAATATAATGGCTCAGGGAAAAAACACCATCAATTGCGGGGCACGCACGTACACAGGACTGCACGCACGAACAAAGCAAGACCGGGCTCGTCAATCCTCAATACGCCCCCTCTGCCCCGACAATTGAGGGTGATGCAGAATCGGCACAACATTATAGTGATGATGATCAACAACGCTACCGTCAGTTAAGACAATACGGATCCTTCTACCTTCATCTAGCAGATCCTTCACATGACCCAAACGGTATCCGGGGCTCAGCTTCTTTTCCGGATGGTAGATCAGCACTGGGTCACCAATCGTAGGCTTCAGGATCTTGTTCTTCAAGCTCTGGTACCCCATAGAGCGAGCGACAGCCATCCTCATGTCGCGGAACATCTCATTCAGGAAATAACACCGCACTGCTCTAACGCGGTGAGAAATAGGAAGAGTAGAAGAGCCACCAGCGAGGACGCAACCTCGCTTACGAGTAAATCCACGAGCCAATTGATCAGGCGTAACCACGACAAACTCGCCAGATGGCTCGTCAGAGTTAGCATAATCCAACGGACGAGTATTCATCAGGAACGTTACCTCCCTGCAGATACTCTCCAAATCGACATCGTCCTTGCGTCGCGGACGTCGTCGTCCCACAAATCCCGCTTGGCTCCTCAGAAGCGTCTTTGCGATCTTTATGCCAATACCATGAGCACGTTCACCGCCACCACTACGCCATGGAGATCGCACTGGCAGCAATGAAACCGTCCCATTCAACAGGCGAGAAACCTCTTTGGGGAAACGTGCACTGCGGAAGTAAGCAGCATTATCACACCACAATCTTCTCAACCCGCCTTGTTCAGTCTGCACTCGGACGAGAGAATTCAAGACGTCTATCGTGGTCTCGCCAGTCGGAACCCAAGTGGAGTGGAAGGTATGGAGACAGTAGACGGTAAGCACCTTGGTCGTCCCGGACCAACCTTTGATATCTCCAAGGCTCAGGACGTCGACGAACACATCGTGGTACGGTTCCCACGCTGTGGCTTGGGTGCGATGAGGTCCAGCACCCGGTGGCTGAGTCCACGTACGACGAGCTCGGATGAGCTGACAAACGAAACAGTGCTTTACCAAGGCGCGAACATCCATACGTAGGCGAGGCAAGTAGAACCGATCATACACAGATGCCACAGTCGAGCGGACATTTCCGTGTTTGCTCAGCCGGTGCGAGTCGAGACAGATCTTTGCTCGAAACGCACGACAACACTCATCCTTCGGGATAACAGGCAAGTAGGTACAACCACCGTCTGCAGAGCCGTTTCGGAAACAATACACCCCTGCGGTCTCATCGTGTACGTACGGGCCGGCACACGACAGAAAAGGAGGCTTCATCTGCTGCTGCAGAGATCTCACAAGGTAGTTGACATTATCGGCCTCGAGTCGGACATCCTCAACTCTCTTCGCAGACGGCCTCAGAGCATTGAAAACTCTGTGCAGGAAGAGGAAATCGGTAAGGACGCCATTCACATCCCAATTGCAACCACATAGAGTCTCGATAAATGGCTTCGGCTGTTGTTCATCGGCAGCGGAATCGGCTGCACAACAGGCAAGGAAACTCTCTGTAGAAGGCATAGCACTCAAAAGAGTGTAAATGTCCACATCATGAGCATCTTCATCCATCAGCTCCGCCCCCTCAGATCTCATGATCCAAGACAGGCCTACTCCTTCAGCTTCCGGCTCTGAGAAGATCTCGGGGAAGTCACCAGTGTTACCAGGACCACCATGGAGAGCATCGACCAGCTTCATCCGTTGGCCTGATTCTAGGTGGACCTCTCTCTCGAAGAGTCGCGAGAGCATATCCGGCATGGTGTTCGACTTACCCTCGATGTGTTTCACCACCACTGTTCCGGCCCCCAAGGTCTTCAGGTAGTCGAGCTCATCCCGGAGGGCGTTGAGGGTTCGCAACACTGCCCTCCGCTCTAGTGATGATCTAGACACACCCCCATGACCGTTGATCCACTGCACCGTCGGTTTATTATCCGATCTTACGGTCAAGGTAATCGAAGGTAAGGTTCCTGACAGTGTCGTCGCTAAGTGAGCCACAATATCAATAGCGCACTGCACCGCTCGACAACAAACGGATAATTCACGGCGATTTGAATGATAATGTTGCTGAGCGAGAGTGAATCTCCAAGCCCCAGATGCAAGAAGATATCGAGTGGCTCCACTATCACCATTTGGGTGCACTATCGATACAGTGTACCCTGCTCCAATGTTAGAGGCATCGGCCGCGACTTCGATATGTAAAGGATCAGCGCTTTCTCGAAGTGGAGTGTCATGTAAGCACGGAGTGATCGTCGCCGTTCTCTCTAAAATCCAGTTCATCAGCGACCGAGCAACAGACCTCTGTAGATCAGATAGTTTGGAAAAATCGCACGAGCTTCTCCAATCGACCTTCGCAAAGGTGTGGGCAAACCAGCTTCGGATAGTATCCGCTAGCACCCGGTCGATTGGGTGGCAACCAGCACAGTCATATGCTAGGTTCCCGCCGAGAGAGAAGATAAAAGCCTTAGTCACCGTCGTCGTGACGTTACCATCCAACACTTGTAACACTGATGTGGCCTGCTGCCGAGCCAACTGGAGCCGATCACCTCGGTTGCAATCGACGCGAAGAAGAGGCGTCGGTCCACTCTCATCGTAAGTCATTGTGCATCCCAGTAAGTCGGCGGAATCCGACCATACGAAGAGGGAAGTCGGTAGGTTCATCCGCTCTAGGATATCGGCAACATGACTCCTTGATGACCTGATGGCGATCGCTTGGAATTTCTTCCGAGATACCCCGAAGGCGCATCTCTGTAGTGTATATATCAACCAACATACTGCTGAAGCACCGTCCACTCCCGCACATAGAATGTCATCAACGAAGCAGAGTAATAGGAAACAAAGAAGCAACATTGCACAGAGAGCTCTGAATGCTGCTATCAGGTCTCCCAGAGTATGCCCCAAACTTCCAGGACCAGTGGTGACGCCGAAGACACAGCGGTTGCTCGTGTACAGCGATGAACGTACCACCAACAAGGCAAGTAGGCCCAACCAGCGCAATTTATAGAACGCGCGTGAACAATCCATGACCCACATGACTCCCGATCCATACAGACGAGTCACCGCTATGCAGATAGAAACCGTGACCGAGGAACTGGACCCTCTTGTGAAACGACGATTGGCCCGTCGCAGATCGACGACAAGTCTATCTCGTCGCTTGAGAGCTCCTGGGATCATGAATACAACCGATGGAGGGAGAATGTGGGTGGTCTTGGAGAGTGTGTGAATCTCTTCCTCAGATCTCTTTATCCACCATCCTCTCTCTTCATATCCTCGGACTAGCTCGTCAAAGGTCTTCTGCTTCTCGAGGGTTAATCGTTCGTATGCGCGTTCCGCAATTCGACGGACAGCCGTTGGAATTTGTACATGACTCGCCTCGCCCAAGGAATCACATCTAAGCTCAAACACGTGAGTCTGTCGGGAGTCGTCACGTATTTCATCAGCACGGAGCTTCCGTAGACGAGCAAACCAGTGTTGACACTTCCGCATTGGCCACCACCCTTGGCTGACCAATCGGTCAAGCAGGTCAGTTGAGATTGGTGGTACCGTGTCGAAAGGAATGTCCATCTCCTCAGATGATGAGGGCGGGAGGGGAAGTCGTTCATAGGATGTGTCTGCATCCTGTCGGCCCTCAATCATAGTCGTCAGCAGGCAGCCAGCAGCTTCGTCGTCCCATTTCCCATCCCCTAGACTGGGATCAAGAATACATATATTAGACTCTTCGGTCACTGAGCATCGAGCAACGGTAGGCACCGATTCTTGCGGGAATCGGACAAGGGGCAGATCATTACCAGCGAGCGTCACTCGGCTCTCGCCTGAGTCAATCGATATTTTATAATCACGCAAAAAGACTCGACCCGCGATAATCACTGGGCAATCAGATAAGGGGCCCCGTGATACTTGAGGTAGCAGGTACAAATATCTGTCACGAGTAGTTCCCCATCCCTGCTGTTCCCGGAGCTGCATTGGGAACTTCACTTTGCGACTCACTTTTCGACTGGACGAGTCAGCAAGCTTCACTTGGAAACTACACGTCTCAATTGGGAATGATTTTAAAGGGAAAGAGTCATCGTACAATAAAAAATCAAGACCAGCCCCGGTGTCTAATAATAACCGGGCATCTATCCAACTCATACAAGTGGGGGTAGTAGCAAGACGACAACATAACCAGTAAGCAGATGGTACCGAAGCCCTATCACGAGTGATAGGAAGCAGTTTCAAGTCCTGCTCAGGACTCATGAGAAAGGGGCAAACCGGTCAGAACGGATGCTGTTCTTCGTCAGTCGAGAGATAACGGCATCCCTATCAGTGCCAGCCTTGAGAGCAACTATTCGGAAGAACGGATTACGACGTCCTTTTCCCTTCAAAGGGAAGTTGCTCTCCATTTCAGGAATGGCCTTCTGCAGATCGTCACCCCACAGTCCAATGACCTTGATCAATTGGTCAGGCTTATATCGTTCACACCACTGCTTGGGGGTTACTGAGCGAGATCCCGATCCGGAGTTAACCTTATCCACTGAGGCAGCAGAATCCTGTTTGCTTGCCGGCTTCGAGGATAAACTCTCTTCGCAGGTGTCGTCGTACATGGCGGCGTGAACACTATCGACCCCTTTCGTCGGTTTCATTATTGAGGCTTGGTCCTTTGTTCGGCATACCCATCGGATTGCCTCACAAACACTTCGCACTCCGTCTGATGCCTCATCGAATGGCACCGCCGTCTCCCAGTCCTCATCGACAGAGGCTAACCCCGACAGCTGGCAAATTCTCTCCATAACCTTCTCAATGATATGCTGTGGGAACTTCGCCAGAACTTGTCTTGTCAATGAACGTCGCTCCGACACGTCGTTCGGGTAGACATCTGTGAATAGATGGTAGATATCGGCGGCGGACTCCAGGAAATCCTCGATCTGCTTAACCCCTGTAAATGTGAGATGCGTAAACTTCTCCTCGTAGGTCTCCTTCAACACTGATCTGCGGCAATACCTCGTCAGAAGGACATTGCGGACCAAATTCCAATCCTGTGAGTGGGTACGTGACGCTACAGTGGCCTTCTTATGGACCGGTCGGACATTACTCAGAGAGGAAAGGAATTTGGTCATGACAGATACTTTGACCTCCTCGTGCACTAGCAAATGTCCTTGCTGGTGATACTCAGCGGCTCCTGCTTCAACGAAGGTGTGTTCAATAGCATGATAGTGCGATTGGAGATCTGTTGCTTCACAGAGTTGAGGCAGACATAACTTAGTCACTGTCGCTGCCGGGCATCGTGAGGAGCGTGACTTCGGAGTGGTATACACCTCATGCTCCTCCTCCTCGGACCGTGGAGAGAGTCGACTGAAACCTTCCTTCCGTGATATCTCGCTGACGGATCGGTCAGCCAGGGCCTCAAGTTCAGCAATACGGGCCTCGAGGCTACCTATCTTAGAAAGATTACTGGCCTCCTTGGACGCGAGGTCGCTCATAAGCTGCTGAGTATCATCCTTCTCGTCGGAGATGATGTTGTTGAGAGCCTCGCGAGTATCCCGGAGGGAACGGCGCGTAGCGGCCAACTCTCTACGGGCTTCAGAGAGCTCAGCGAGCTCCTCAGGTGTCGCCATATTAACAACGAGTAGACAAGTTTACGGTTGTGAAACTGAGATTGAGCGTATCAATGTCATTTAATATAATGGCTCAGGGAAAAAACACCATCAATTGCGGGGCACGCACGTACACAGGACTGCACGCACGAACAAAGCAAGACCGGGCTCGTCAATCCTCAATATCCCCAAAGATCGAAACCGCGCGTCGTAGAATTTTCTGCTCAGTTCTGTTATAGGACTCCTGTAGCGATCATACTCAAGCTTTGACTCATGATTCAAGCATGTGCTGACCTGAGTAGCATTTGCGCAAAAAGCCTTGCCTGAGATTCGAACCTAGGATCTACGCCCGAATCACGAATTCGATCCAGAATCAAGAGCCAAATATCGTGATGTTGCACGCGGAGCCTGGTCGGTTGATGCAGGTGCAGGATCAGCCAGGAAATCACGCCTGAGTATAACGTCATATGTCAGATGTATAATTTCGATCATAGATTCAGACTAGTGAGCTCTGGGATAGAATTTGACATAAAATACGAGCCTGCGTATTTGCGAGCCACGTGAATGCGAGCCACGTGAATAGAGATTCACACATGGGCCAGACGACATGACTCCTGGTCGGCAACATCGTGGGCAAGAAAGGGGCCACCAAGGATCAGGCAGCGGAATTGAACGCTTGTGTAACAGAAGTTCTGTCGACGGAGGAATAGGTCCGAAACCGCAATGACCGGGTTAGATTCACGCCCTGATGAATAGAGTTGTAGTGGTCACGAATCGTGGCCATCGTGACTCACGATGCTAGTCGTACAGAAACGAACTCCTATTTGCCCGACCTCCAAGAAAGTGTGCACACTACACCAATAACCAATGGCGAAACCACGGTTGCGGGAGCAGTGAATGACAGCTGCTCTTCGGCCATGAGCTTCCTGTTGCAGATTTTAGTCTCACAAACTTACCTTCAATGTCGTGAACAAAGCTGGGACGACTACAGTCACTGTAGTCACTGTAGTACTGTGGAACACTGTAGTACAGTGTTCCAGGCTCGAGGTTCGAGAAGTGGCCATTGATGAGGAATGAGCGTCACTGAAGGTGATCATCATCCCTGAATCAAAATCTATAAGACAACCCTCAGTGAGCATAGAAAAGTCTGTCGTTGTCCGGATAGTTGATAGTAGAATTTCTCGACTCTTGCTATACAGCACGCCACGAGTACCGACGAAGTCTCCGACGACATTGCGTGGAGACAAGGATCGCGAAATTTACTATCGGGATAAAAAGTAAACGATACCGCAGCATCGAATAGGACGTCTCTCCATACCGATAGTAAGAATCACCAACTCTAGCCTGGTGTAGCCGGACGAACTAAAAGACACAGCTCACGATGTGATGTGGTTATCGAGAGGAAGCCTTTGCATAGAAGACAAATAATAGACGAAGTTTCGCGTAAGAAAGATGAACTAGATTTTCCGGTGGCCTCACTCGGACAGCAAATGTCACATGCGAAGAGAACGGAGGAGAGTGCATCAAGCCTTGGGAAGCCATCACTGTAATGCTGGAGGCTTAATGGGTAGGAGTCGACAAACGATTCAGACTACACAGCCACGAAAAAAATCAAATAGCTCGTCAAGTCCAAACAAATAGTAGCAATAGTGCAGGTTGCGATAAGCGCAGCAATCGCAGCTAAACAACCTCCACTAGTATAGTAATAGTAAAACACCACTCAGAGCTATGGTTGCCTGACGGTTAGTAGAATTTAACCAGGTGTAGAGTACCCACAGAGCGAATCTAGAACTTCGAGTAAGAGCTGTGGTGTAGCAGTTCCACTTTGGGAAAGCTGAGCATCATCATCCTCATCCCAGCTCCAAAAAAGAAGAACAAGAATTTTCAAATTGGTGACCTCACTCGGACAGCAAATGTTACATGCGGAGAGAACACAGCGGGAGTGAATCAAGCCTTTGAAAGCAGTCACTGTGATCGTGGAGGCCTGATGGGTAAGAATGGGTAGGAATGTCAACAAATGATCCACACTACACAGCTGGAAAAAAATCAAATAGATCGCCAAGTTCGAACGAAAAGTAGCAATAGTGCAGGTTGCGATAGCGCAGGAATCGCAGCTAAACAACCATCACTAGCATAGCAATAGCAATATAACACTCAGAGCTATGGTTGCCTGACCATTAGTAGAATTCAATCAGGTGTAGAGTATCCACGGAGCACGTCTAGAACTTCGAGTAAGAGCTGTGGTGGAACATTTCCGCTTTGGGAAAGCTGAGCATGATCATGATCATCACCACGGCTCCCAGACGACTCCTCAGGAGACTGTTCAAACGAACAACTGCCGTTGTTGAGCTCAATATGGCTTGTGGGAAGGGCCGATGCGCTGGGAAGGAAGCTCTCCTCTACAAAACCGGAGTAGGGCTCATTGAACAAAAGGTCAGGAGGTGCGGAGCCTCTGATGTTCGAGGTAGTCCATCGTCTTCCAATAGAGGGCTCCGATTCCGGATACTTCAGGGGTCTTGTTCGTCCTTCACGGCCGGATTCCGCAGAGACGACGACCGACCGGGACGACCACCGCCGAGAAGACTCTATTCCTTCATACGGCTCCTGCGTCTCATGAAGGCCACCCCGATCGAGTGCTGCAGGGAACGCTACTACGGGGACAGCAGACTGACTCGCTCTCGATGCGGCGTTTCGAGAGGCATCAATGATGGGAGGAGGAGAGGTGAGCAACGCGGCAGGCGATACCAAGTCATCTATACCGTGGGCATAAGTGCAGTTGTCACCATGAATGCAATACCCCTGAAGAGCATAAAATACACAAAGTTTGGTCTTATAAGACTGTTCCTTGGTGTTTGCCGCTGATGATGACGAAGGCCTGGCCCGTGGTGCACCTTTGTCGTTCGAGGAAGCCTCCTTGGCATCGTAGGTAGCAGATTGTGGGATCCACTGCATGACGAGATCCCTGGCCATGTGAGTACACAGATCTGCAACAAAGAGCATAAGACCCGTAACTACTCAAGCCGCGGCTTTGAAGGCGCTTGGAAGGCACGTGCTGCTTGGAACGCATCGTCCCAGAGACGAAGTGTGCACGCGTACATTGAGGGCGTCACTCACGCGGAAATCGTCGACGATACTTGACGCCGTCTATTGATTGACGGTCAAGCCCGGAAGACGGTAAACCGTGACCACTCCCAACAATCGTCATTCTAGTCTCCAATCGCATGTCGGGATTATCTATACACGGGAATGGGAGATCGAGATCTATGAAAAAGTCAACTTGCAAGTAGTGTAGGAAGGTATGCAAATTGTGCGCGGCTGAGGGAAGCCAACTCAACACTGCTTGGAAGTGGGTTCGTCGCCTCATACTGCAGAGTATCATCAACGATCCGATCACCCGAAACAGGCGAGTCAAGTGAAGTGTAGCTGAACAGGTTGAATCTATTTGAGAAGGTATGAAGTGAGTAGAGTGGACATTGTCAGTCATGAATCATGACGGCGTTAAGGGAACTTTCCAATGTTGAACCACAAAACTGACGATCAATAGAACAATGGAGACTCTGTCCTCAGTGGACCCATGTGGGAACAAGCAGAGTTCGGCCCAGAACTATGTCCAGTGTGCCCGTGAGCACTCAGAGCTCTCTTCTAGTGGGAGGGCTTTCAACTCCTTGCTCAGTCGACGGTTTACATACTAACGAATCTGAGGACTTTACTTGACATTAGTATATGCGAAGCTTTTTCACTGAGCATTCTTTACCACACAGTTTTATTCTGCATGCGCACAACTACTACCACCCGTAGCGAGGAAGTGCCAGAGGGATCGACCTAGAGCATGCACGTCTTCTCCATATGATTTTTTCAACACCGTTACCGTCTGCTGTCACCATACCGCCTGTGACGGGGGAATTTGGGATAATGGAACACTCTTAGAGGCAAACTGAGTGTGACGTAGACTGCCGTAAGAGCCCTAGAGTCAGCTTTTGAGTTCCCATTACTCTGGAGGAGTGTATCACAGCTCTAGGTGGATACCAAGCGCCCGCAGTTGCTCGGCGACAGACCAACTGAGAAAGCGTTTGTTGATTTTGCCTCTCAGCGCCCCTGTGATATTTTCTCAGGCGCGTATGTACTTCGAGTAGACAAAGACCGCACGCTCGCCAAGTGTAAGTGCTCCAAGCTATGCCCTATGGGAAATGTCCATGACTTGAATAGTTTGAACTCGAGTGGTATGCATTCTGTTGAGGGAGACGTAGAGAACTAACGATAGAAGGCCAGCCCGCAACTGACGAACAGGACAGATCGGTATGGACCGATATATGGGAAAAGGGGAACCTTAAGACTATAGCTAACTCGTAATGATCGATCAACATAATATGTACGCATATACATTGGCGCGCTCTAATCTCTACTATATACTAATAGGAGTGAACAAATCGTGCGTCAAAAAGTTGACTCCGTTCTTGGTTTGTCATATCCGCGTCTGATTTTCTCTGGATACCTTACATGCCATTGAGACTATCCAGTACTACATTTGTCGTGCGACGAAGCTCCCTATGATTCACAGTATCTCTTGCATAGCGTGATCGATCAAAACGATTTAGATGTGTTAAACCGTCACAAAAATTTGCTCCGAGTAATTAATTCACAATCGTTTCCGCGCCTGTTTTCGGTTCCTTCCAGATTGTGTCTCACTGTCAACACCCCTACATATATCATGTTCGCCGTATACCTGGTACACTTCCATTCTATCAAGAACTGCCTTTTCCGTATCACTTACTGTAGCCGTATTCGTAAGATCGACCCTAATAGATATGCGCCGATGTACCTTGTGTTAAAACGTTACAGGAAATTATTCACAGCAAGAATAATGCCTTTTCTCTATCTGATCAGCTTTACACCCTTAATACCTACTAAACACTTATTAATCTTTTACCATACGATAGCTTTGTGTCATACGCTTTTTTCTCACTAGCACGTTCAGTTTTCATGGAGATTTCTACCACATTGAACATGCGCCGATGTACACT